TTACCCTTATTTTCCGGCTGCCGTACAAGATTCCCGTGCTGTTTGGAAGATGTTTGTATCCCAAGACAAAGCTGCGTATGCTGTTTCTTCATGCCTGAAGTAAGAAAAGCACACAATACACATGTTCACAGGTATTTCATAAGCTTCTGGGTTGTATTTCAGACCCTGCAATTCAGACTCGGGATACCTCTCAGAATGGAAGAGTAGATTTTCAGCTTGACTCATCACAAGGACCATCAGCAGACAGGAACAGTCATAGAAGATTATCTTTAAAAGATGCAGCCAAAACCACATGGAAGATAACCAGTGGTATGGTGCTCATTTTATGTTAGTTTACATCTCAGTTGTGTGTGGTGGGGGGGACTATCTGTTGTAAATTTCAAAGGATCCGGAAACAGTTCACAGAAAATATAAATGTATGTGTTGTGGGGGATTATGGAAATCAAACACCCTGCAACAGAATTGCGTTTAAGCATTGATAAAGATTTGCAGGATTAAGCAGAGTGCCAGAGCAGTGAATGAATAAAAAAGGAAAAATTCCATGCTCTCTTGATTAAAGGGAAAGAACTAGAAATAATTTATTCTTTAAATCCCTATTAAATTTAACACTAGAGACTCCAAACATCAAATGTATGAGAAATTTTATTTGTCCCAGATAAGAGTTTAGGATATTAATTATGGTATCCATGTAATATTGGGGGGGTTTGGTGTTGTTTTTAAAGATGAGTGGTGAAATTAATTTTTTTTCCACAGAAGGACACATCAGCTTACGGTGTATTTCCCTTTCACACCTATCTGCCAAAAGGTGTGGATATTTTTTTGTCATACAGCGTCAATCAACTTGCTTTGTATATGCCTGGAAAGTACGTAATGTGGCAAAAATAATCCTTAATTCTTTAAAAAAGCATAGCCTTTATTGACCAAAGAAATTTTCCTTCATGTTGTGGGTTATTTCCATTTTGCTTAATCTTTGGGATGTTTAGAAGGAATTGTGTATTAGGACAATGTCAGCAATTCATACTTGCTGTTAGGGGTTTTTTACTATTTTACTGTTTGTGTTTCTGAGAATGAAAACTGTTGTAACCCCATAAACCCCAGGATCAGTGTTATAGTCAGGAAACTCACAACAACTGATCTTGCTGATCTTGTGATGACTTAGCCAAAAGCATAGTCCTGCCACTTAGAAAAGACCTTTAAGATCATCATGACCAACTTCTGACAAAATGCTAATGTACATACACCTGTGACAAGTCAGTGGCACAAATCCACATTCCCCAAGCAAAATACAAGCCTATGGGGTTTCTGGCTCCCCACCTACATTGTGGTCAAAACATGTTCTTGTCAACAAGGACTATGAGTAAATATTAATATAAATTTCATGGGGATAGAGGAGCTTTCATAACTGATTGTTGTACTGCCTTAGAGGGTGGTCACTGCTATTCATAATAATACCTTTTAGATGTATTATAAACCTCAATTCAGCATCTTCTGTAGCAGGTGTGCAGTACCATTACCAAGGTAAATTGTTTGTAAGCAAGAGTTAAAATAAGTGAGCATTGTTTATAGTTTGTCAATATTATTTAGGCAATACTAAAACCCTCATTAAAATGTCAGGGTGTAATTATAAGCTTTAGCATAAGTCTGACTGTGTAGAAGAACTAATTAGATGTTTAGGTGATCGTTCTTGCGTTTATCTTGTTTGCTGCAATGTTGTGATTACATAGTAGTCTGCATATTTTGTGAAGAAGATAACTCCAAATCGTTCATTACAATTGATACGGAAACACTGAGTTAAAAAGAAAATACAGTATAGTTTCTGGTAGAGAGGTAATAGGATTTGGTTTGGTCTAAAACTCCCCACATATTCCACTTGAAGGCTGTTTACAGAATGCTACACTGACTGCAGCTTGCAGAAGTTGCTGAACTCCGTAGCATAAAATGTCATCTTAAAGCCTCACAGGCTTTTCTGTCTTCCCCTGTATATTTCGTTAAGTACTGAGGTATACAAACTAATATTTGCATTTAACTTACTACTAAATCAAGCACATTTATTGGAAACATCTCTGGAAACAAGTGCTCTTTACAGAAGGTAGACTAAACAGCCTGAATATTCAGGCTAAATATTGTGCAGACACTAAATCTTTTAAAGTAGTTCTTTATATTTCTGAAGTGCTTTAGATCTGAGTAAAGACATTACTTTTACTCACAATGGGGAGTAAAGTGATTTGTAAGAAGTTTTTGGATGTCTGGGGCAGAACCAGGAGAAGGGATTTAAGCTTCTAATTGCTTCCTCTTCTCTGAACACTTGACAAAAACTGTTACTTAAGATTTTTTCTTTCATATTTTGATACTTCATTTAAAATTGACTTAAAATCTCAAAGCCCAAGTGGTTTAACACCCTCTTTTGCTTCAGAATTCATTACGACATTTTATCTGTAATGACCTCTGCAAATTAAACAGCAACAACTTCATTAGAAGGCATTCTAAAATGAGAATAGAAAGGTGAAGCAGTTGAGGAAGCTGGTTGTTACTGGGTCAATAGGCCATAATAAAAATTAAGCCATTCCTCCCTACTCTCATTCACAGTCCTTTGGGCATAAAAATTAGCAGATTCTCGTAGAGTGCTTGTGTATAACCACAGAGAGCTGGTTACAGTGGTCTGAGCTATTAAAGCATATTTGAAAACGGCAAATACAGCATGATACCTGTCAAACCTGATTTCAGGGTGGGGTAAAAGGCCTTCTGAATACTAAAGGAGTATATGTTATACATCTTGGTCTTGTTCAAGCCACTGCCATTGATATCTGGCAAAACGTGTCTAGATTAAACTGAGAAAGGGTGGGTGCCAGACTGGTCAGAAGACCACAGAATGCTGAAATAGGGAAAATATTTTAGCTAAGTAAACTTATTTTGAAGATATTTTTTGTTTTGAAGAATGCAGCCAGGTAAAAATTTTAATATAGTTGTCTTGGGGATAAAAGAGAATTTAAAACATTGTAGATTTAGCATCCGGAGCATAACTCCAATTGCCTGACTAAGAATCCCGCGCGATCAAAGACAGAACAATTCTGCTCTGCTATCCTCCTTTGAAAAACTTGTAGCTATTAATCAGAACAGAAGGTCATTTGGTTTATACAAATGAAGGCTGGTTCTTGGAAGTTTTGAGTAGTCTCACTCGTGTCTTGAAGCTCTTGAAAAAACTAGACCAACCAATTCCTAAAATAAATGGCATTACTTACATATTTATCTTTCAAGTCTTCTATTAGTTAAAAGCAAGGTGAAATTTCCATATACGTACAAAATAGACTTGTTTTATGTACAGTAGACAGTGATCTAGTAGATTGTTTTATACCAGCATGATTATCTAACATAAAAAGAGTTTACCTGAAAAGCCTTGGGGCTTCTGCCTATAGATGGTCTTCATGCACACACTGAACTCTCTTCTGGAACAAGTAGGTGTAAGCCATCAGTGTATGAGATGTGTTAAGTCCCTACTTTTCACTGCTTCCTAGTACAAACTGCTGTTAAAAATATTGGAGTTTGGCAGCTTTACTAGCTGTCTTTAGTAAACTGGGAAAATCAGCAACCCAGTGAGAAAATAACTGTTTCTCCTGGCATCTCCCTCATCTTTCTTTTGCCTTCATTTATGATGGCTTACACTTTCTTTTTTTTCCCCTCAAAGCAGCTTAATCTGCCTGAAGTGATAATTCTCTCAAACAAAACTAAAAAGACTAGAATTCCATAATAAACTGACTGTCTTCTGTGACAATAAGCATTTTATTAGTGCAGTGCTACTTTATTATTGTGTTTTTAGTATTTTTTTATTGAGGCTTTTTTAACACGGTTGGTGGTAACTTTGTTTTATGGAGCCAGAAAGTTTCAAGATCTAGTGGATAATCCACACCACACTATCTTTACTGAAGATAGGGGAGTATTGCATACTTGAGCAATTCTCCTTTTCTCAGATGCTATTTGAGATTGGTTTTAATCAATCAAATTGACGTTTTTTTCTATACCATCATTCCAAGCAGTAAAATGTAAGTTAACAATAAGAGTATAAAAATGGCCTTTTCATGTTTATCTGGGGCACTTAATCTTTAAATCCATTTCTGTAGCTTATTGTTGGTTTAAAATTGGCAGATTAGTACTGCCTGTATTCAGGGAAACTTGGTGAAACAGGTATCTTCATATATTTTTCATGTCATCCTGGTTTTCATCAGAGCTGTAGTTTGAAACTGAGATTTAAACCATAAGTTCTGGACATAAAAGTGTAGAATTTCAGTAATAAAGAAGCCGCAGATTGTAATATTGTGAACTTTCCACCAACTATGTGTGATTTCTTTTTAAATGTCAACCACAAAAAAAAAAATGCCTAAAGAAAAAGATCAATAGCTAAATTTAATAAAATTATGTTTTCCTAGAATGAAATTCGGTTGATCAGTTTCAAATCTTACCAGCTAAATAATTTGAGTTGCAAATTGCAGGCTTACAAGTCATATATCAGAGCCTGTGGATTTTTGAGCTATGATCTGGAAATGTTCTGATTTAACCTCGCCTCGCCTAGAAAGCAGCCTGATCTTTTTCGTTGTATCCTTGTCACTCTTCCAACTGTATAAATCTGATAAGCAGATGTTTCTGTATTAGAAAAACTTCTATACAACTTCCAGACAAAATGAGAGTGATCGGAGTAACATACAATTTACATGTTTGGCATTAAAATAAACATTTTACGTTTCAGATGAATGGGTGTTTCCAGAAAGTCTCACTGGGAGAGTTCAGTTGGATACAAGTGAACAGCTTGTAGCTACTGAAGATTCAGCCTGCCATAATGTAACCTTGCCACAGAATGCCCCTGTTGAATGTCACAGCAATGAAACAGGTGATCACCAAGTGAATAATAAAGAGACTTTCACATTTTCATCAAGACTTCGTTCAGCTCCTCGTGGGAATTCTCCAGATACGTCACCAGAATGTGGCATTTTCCATTTGGATTTGAAGCAAGATAGTAACGGAGTACATGGGAAAACCCAGATTGAAGATAATGTTCAAGGAACTGACAGCAGCGAAGAGGTAGGCTACACATAATTATTGATAAAGTAGTCTTCATCCTAAAACTCCTAAGATGAGATTCTGTCTTCAGGCTAGATACAGGATAATTCATCTTTTCCCCATGTATGTACAGGTAGATTTGTCTTTGTCAGATTGCTGTGCCTAACTAGATACAGGAGTGAAAATCATAAAATGGTTTGGAAGAGACCATAAAGCTCATCTAGTTCCAAGCTCCTGCCACAGGGAGGGCCACCTTCCACTAGACCAGGTTGCTCAAAGCCCCCTCCTTGAATGCTGCCAGGGATGGGGCAGCCATAACTTCTTGGGGCAACTTGTTCCCTCTGTGTTAAGTAGACAAAAAAAAAACCCTAACACTGTCAGCCCCTGTGCCAACAGAGATGTGAGGATCGTGCATGTTTACAACAGAAAAGATTTTAGGAATGCCTGCATCATAGATTTGAGCAAGATATAAGTCTGTTATGGTTGAGCAAGAGTGCAGTAAATAAGGCTTTGTTGTGCCTTTTAAAACTGCAAGCAGTGACTCTTTTCTCACCAATATTGTCAAAAGTGAGTTAAGAAATTTCAGCTTTTTAATATCAGTTGATGCTTGGTATTTCTGCTTTATGTCCTGTCTGAGCTGTGTCAGCATCACCAACTTCAATTCCTTTGCAATATGGAAATCTTTCAGCAATAAAATTAATGAAAACAAAAAAAATTACTTCTTTAGCAAATGTTTCAGCTGATTCTGTGTAGGAATTCACCAAATTGTCAATGCACTGAATAGTTGCATTGTGTCATTATGGTAACTGCTAAAACAGTTTCTACCTTTATGACTGTTCTATTTCATTTTGAATTATGAAATCTGTTCCTTAGCATTCTACTCTGTTGCTTATAGCTGAGAAATAAAATGCAACCCAGTTTCATAATAGCAAGATGGACTGAACTGCTCTATATTCTGCATCTCTGAGAAACCAAAATGCTGGTGTTAATTATAAGAAATCCAATTTTTCTCTTTTTCTGTAGTTGTGGGAGGTTTCCCATTATCTAGGGCAGTGTATTGTTTGTTAACTTAAACCCGTAAGACTTTATTTCAAACAAAGTTCTAGAATTTCAGAATTAAATCAGTTTTAGTCAGGCTGGTAGTTCATGAGCGGTACTATATGGGATACCATTCTAAAGTGTAGAACTGTTTGGGTTTCAAAGAACTTTTTTATTAAATCTGTAGAAAGTATTATCTACAAAAATATTTACTTAGCTGTAAAACATAAGAGACAAGTTGAATTTCAGGATGAATTTCAAATAAGTAAACATTGATTCTCTTTATGTTGCATATACTGAGAGCTATAAGATAGACGAAATATCTGTGCTAGAACCATACGGTTTATGTGACTTGAGGCTTTTGGGGAGGAAATGTTTCAGCCTGCAGTCTGAAAGCAGCATTTATAAATTACCTTTACTGGTTACTAATTAGTAACTGAAATAGTTCAATGCTGTTGTTCAGTTATCAGAGTCAAATAATCAGTTTAAAATAAAAATTGCTGCTTCTTTTGGAACCAGTCACCATCAGGTGACTTATCTTGTAATTCTAGGCATGCCCATGCTTTCATCTCAAATTTCTGTTGGAGACTTTGTGTAAGTAAACTTGTCATGGCAGCATTTATGGATTCTGCCCAACCCACAGCAAACCCAAGAACTCTTGCTGATAGCAAGGGTTGCGACTGTGGCAGGCGTGACCACATGTCACATAGTGCTGTCAAAAATGTATTTGAAGTGTAACAGGCAAGTTCATCAGTGAAGCCTTCAATGAAGAAACTGAGAATTTTTCTGTCCTTATACAATTCAAAGAATAAAGGAATAAGATTAAATAAGATAATGTACCCTCACAAAGTGATAGATAACTTCACTTTGATACCTCAGTGTTAAAGCTCGGTGTACACAAGGACTATCTCCCATCTACTCCTAGTAGGTGGCCCTCTAGAGTCATTAGAATGATTTTAAAATTACTACCCAGCAAAAGCAATCAGTTTTATGTATCCAGAACCGCCCATCTGCATCTTGCAAGGAATACATCACATCAGTGGAAGTGCTCATTCCTCAGGAAAATGAGTCTCATCTTCAGTTTACATATGCTGTGCTACAGTTAATCAAGCAAACTTTATTGATGTTTCTGGCACCATTTCATGATTTAGTATTTAACAAATTATTCTGGAACCTAAGTGAGTATGTGTGGCTGAAGAGACATGGAAAGGTTGGAGGGATTTAAGCTTTAGATAAATCAGAGTTATCCATTTATCTCTGATGTGTGTGAAAAAAAATACAGTGTTTTCTTCAGTAATATTCTATCTTCAGTTAACCTAAATTAATATGGGTTTCCAGCACAGATTTTAAGGTAACTTATGGCAAATAAAAACCCATCGAAAAGAGGGAAATACAGATTTGTGTTTCAAGGCAATTACTAAGTGAGGGAATAAAACTCCCAAAACATGTATCATTAATAAAACTGAGGGATTGTTTTCTTGAATGTGCATTTTATTCTGTGTAGTCCAGTCTTGGACTCAGTGAAATCACTAAGAAACTTGGATCGCTTTCATTAGCGGTAGGACTGCACGTTGGCTGTGGGAGGCATAATGAAGATGGTATTTCAGTGACTTATTGAATCTTGTAATATATACTGCCTTACATTCAGTGTGGTGGCATATGGCAGATGACCAGCATGATGAAATGAAGATGAGGCCTCCCTCATCCTCTCTTCTTTGAGAATAAGAATGCTGAGGCAAACACTAGATGTGCTTCCCCATTATTTTTTTCCCATGTGTTTGGTCTTGATGTTTGTTGTTGATGTGGTATGAGTGAACACCTGGATTCATGGCATATTTTGCAGACACATTGTTACAAGCATGAATATAAGGTTAACGAACTAAGCTCCAAAATTCTTAAATGATATTCAAATGGTGCTGAATGTGATATTCCACTATTATCACTGGTGAGTAAAGCGATCTCAGCATGAGTTACTCCTTCTACGTTTAAGTTGAAGATGTGACATGAAAATACGGAATATTAATATTTCAGTGGAAAGACATAATTGTGGAGTTTTTACTTTTGGTTTACAGTTTTAATAAAGTTTATTGAAATGATGATCATCGTGTAACACTCAGGTTTGGAGGGTTACCAGCATTCTAAATGTGGGCTGACATTTTGAACAGTGTAATCATGTGTCCCTCTCCTCCTCTTTCTAGTTTTCATTACTTGATTTAAGATGTTTGTGCTGTACTCAGTGTAGTTGCCAGAAGAGCAGCTGGTTTTCAGAATCCTTGCAGATTTAGAATTAAGCAGCAGAGATTAAAAAGCCACTTTCAAATTTTAAGGTTATGTAAAACTGCATTGTGTGATGATGAGAGGGAATCACTCTTGCTTTGTTTCCTAAATTTAGGATGACAACAGTGAATTAATCCAGAGTACTGAGAACCTTGAGATCAGCCACAGCAGGCCAGGAACATCTGATTCGGCAGTTTTTAAGGAGAGCCCATTAAATGGGATGTCATGGAGAAATGAATACTGGAAGAATAAGGGACACAGCAAACATAACCTCGAAGAGACTGTCTTATCAAAACCACAGAGCACCACTGTGAGCAAAACAGATTCTGTTAGCTCTCAGAAAAGCTTAAAGCCTACCCTTTCTCTGTCTCCAAATGAAAGTAAATCTGCATTCTTTAAAGAATTTTCAACTGGATCTGGAAAAAATGAAAGCTATGAAAGAGTTTCTTGTCAATTAAAAAGATCTGTCAGTAAAAAATCTCTTAAGAAAATCTCAAGAGAAAATTCCTGTCTGTCAACACAGAGTTTTGTAAGTGATTTTTACTTTGAAATTATTAGATTGTACAAAAAGCTGTATTAGATATGCTCATTTGCATCAAGTGAGAATAATACATGTTTCATCCACATATATTCTGGTTTCATCATAACAGTATTTACTGAGCTCAGTCTGTTGAAAGTTGATTTTCTAGTTTTTTGGAGGCACACAAACTAGTACTGCAAAAAGAAATCACAGAGGTTTACAGATAAAAAGAAGTGTCATTGAGCAGCTCACATTTATGAAATATGTGAGTCTGGGTGTGAAAGATTACAAAGGAAAATTGACAGACTTTAAATTGATATATTAACAAGGGACCATAGAAAGAATGTTAATGTAGATACTTCATAGTCTTTCTGCAAGAGCCCTGAAAAATAATAAATTATGTGACTGAGGACCAGCAGTAAGGCTGTGTCATAGGCTAAATTCCCAGGCTACTAAAGGAATTGTTACATTCATCAAAGTATTGTTTTATTCCTGTTTTTTTCCCTCGTGCAGTCTCCTTATGGAAACACGCAGTAATTCAAAGAATAAGTATGAATCTAATTATGTTCTTAAATATTGCTTACTAGCTAATTCTTGTCTTTTCAGTTTATAATGATGTGCTTTGAATCAGGAACTGGAGCTTAAGAATCAAGTGTGTTCTGTAAATCACAGATGAGTTCGTATGTTACCTTTCCACGGTTTTGGATAGAATTCTTTTGGGCTTAGAATTACTACAGATTCATATCTTTTAACATGTAACCTCTTCTCTAAGTGTGTTAGGAGTAGATTCGATGTATTCCTGAGCATCTGAGTGAAGCAGGCCAAATGTCTTCCTCAGGCTTCAGGGATCTTTTTCAGACATCAGCTAATACACTGTGAGACCAAAGACATACACAGCTGGCATCTCCTGTCCAGCAGCACTCATTTGCTGATGGTTAGAGAAAGAAAAAACAAACAGCAAGGACAGAGCAAGCATGCAGTGCTGCCTTGCCAGCATGCCCTGTAGGCTGTCTTCCAGCAGCCCATAGCTAAGCAATTCCTTTGGTGAAAAGTGTTGTCTTTGTGGTAAATAACAGATGGTGGAATTTTTTTCCATAGATGTGTGTAGCTGGTTTTTGTACCTCTATGGCCTTTGGCTGTGAAAGTGAATTTCAGAGTTTAATTGCCGGGTCGCGGGAAATACTTATCTCCTTTTATTTGTTTTGACTGCATTGGCTCGTTCCTGGTGCTTTCTCATTCTTGTGTTTGTTACAAGAAACAAAGAATAATCTTTTTTTTCTGTTACCTGTGCCACTTACTATTTGATGGCTGTGTATCATATACCTCTGCAATTCTCTTCTATAGATCGAGGAGTTTTACTGTATTTAGTTCCCAGGATTGCTGTTTTTGTCATTTTTACCAAAGAATGTTGAATCTTGCTACTGCAATAATCATTACTGTAAAAGTGGGGTTTTTTGATAGTAGTATCTTGAACCAGGTACTATTGCTGGGACCACAAGAATAGATGCCCCCTCCCTGGCAGTGTTCAAGGCCAGGTTGGATGGGGCTTGGAGCAGCCTGCTCTAGTGGAAGGTGTCCCTGCCCATGTCAGGGGTTGGAACTGGATGAGCTTTAAGGTTACTTCCAACCCAAACCAGTCTGGGATTCTTTTCTTTGTGGCTCTATGAAGCAGTTATATATTCTTTGGAAAATTTTATTAATTTTTATCAGGAATGTTGTCAGTAACTTTAAGATTAATACAATAAGGTGTTTGAATGTGTCTTTTTTTCCTGACCTCACACACATGCAAAGTGTTTTTTGTACCTGCTGGAGCACTTCTGCGGGAAGAAACCAGTATTGTAGGGCCCGTAAGTTTCAGGAAAAGAAGTGCTGACATACCATATTGTTAACTACAGTGAGATAACACTGGAGACTTTGTTGTTGGCTGTAGGCATGTAATGATTTTATTTCCATTTTGAAACACTGTTCATTGTTTTAAGAACCATGTATGAAAGGATATTAGAGTTTACAGAGAAGTAGACTTTTCTAATCTGCTCATATGGAGGACTGGTAAAGAAAAAAAGTGCTTACCAACTCTTCCTGCAGTCAATTTGCTAACTACTTAATACAGTTTAAGGACCTGGTTGCTTGCAATGTTTTATTCATGTTTTAATGGAGTTCTCTATTATTAAGTTCAAATATTTTTAATTAAGAAAGAAGTGCAGCCCTCTGGGTAATATTGCAAGCATGCAGATAGCTGGTAATTAAAGTTTTCTGCACGTGTAGCTACACTCAAACAATCCTGAATAAATTATTTGAACCTAGAAGAACGCAAATGTCATTATATATGAGAAAAAATCCTTTAAACAGGTTTTGTCAATCTAGCAAAAGTTTTAAGCATTTAATAATATTTTATCAGAAGGGGAGGATATGCAAAAAGAGAAGATAAGCTTTTAATTACTAAATGAAATACTAGTTTTAGACAAGTTTATGAGTATTGCAAAATTACATCTTGCATCAAAAGTTTCTCCTAAATTACAGAGTGAACTTAACTTCAAATTGAATTTTCAAATGCTCTCTTTGAAAATTGGCTGAGGCAAGACAAAATTTCTGAAGAAGCTGTTCTGTAGTGGGCATCTGGAGCTATAAAATACATAGTCCAAACTGTTTCTCCTTTCTTACAAGGAGTTTGTTATACAGCACGTTTAGAACAGAAAATTGCTGTGACATCTATTCTCCTTTCTGAGTGTGGTATTTCTAGAGTGGGACCATTCCAAGAAAAGAAAACAGAATGGCAACCTGAAATAAGTTTGAGAAAGGAGGAACAACTGTTTTGAATTGTGTTGTAAATCTTCCAGAAATCTCTGCATCTCTCTTAATAGCTGTAGAGGAAAAGACAAGCAGGTTTGGACAATGTTTTGCCTTTATTAAAAAGAGAAGGAGAAAAATGTTCTTTCAGTGCTTAGTGATTTTATTCTGCATAGCACTTGTTCATGCTGTCATTTTAATGCTGCATGCCAATTGCTTCATATATGAGGAAAGAAAGATAAGCTGAAGCTTCTCTTACAATAATCCAATAAATGCAGAAGGCACCTATATAAGAAAATTAAGAGGAAATCAGCATCTTCAGTAAGATCAATAAAAGTTATAGCAGCTGTAGATCTGGTAGAATACTAACAGAGCAAAGCAGACTTTCCAGTGTAACATAGCAAGCTTTATATGAGGTGAACAAATAACTAATAGTAACTGAGCTAATAACTTACGTTCAGTAACAGTCTAGAGAAAACATCCTGTATTATTTTAGGATTAAAAATGGCAGTAATAATCACACTATTCAGGAATGAAGCTTGGACCTCAAAAGCCACAGGTACAAAAGGGGTGGCAGCTGTGCTGACAGCTTCTGTCATCATCTTATACCTTGTACAAAGTGGCAGGCTACATATATCTGTGCCAAAAAGCAGCCTCTGAGTGTCTGAGGTGATTCTTCTACTGAAAGTGGGCACTTTGCATGTGAAATAATAAGCAATATATGTAAAAATCTAGGCTGTATAGATACCTTATTGCACTATTTCCTTAAAATAAGAATCAATGTCCAATGTCTAACATCTTTTGTGGGCTGTATCCATCATACCTCTGTGGGGCTGAATAATTGAACCTATATAATATTTTATTAATTGCTCGCATACATTCATGAGTGGTTTTAAAAGCAAATGTCCTGTTTGTGTGGTGCCATAACCTGAAGGTATTAAGTGTTGCTGTACTATTTCTTTTAAAGTAACTTACTTTAAAGTTTATACTCCAGCAAGTTACCAAAATAACTTTTAAAATCTAGTGCTGACATGTGTTGCTTTCCAGAGAAATTTTATGCTGTGCTTGACAAATAACTGTTATGTTGATGGTGTTTACGATGCTACGATAACTGTGTGATTGGGTTTATTTCAAGATTTCCATTTGATGCTTAAGCATAGCTGCTGGATTTTTGAACTTCTGAAAGCCTGCTTTTATCTTCTGTTTTTAATTGCAGTGGAACAGCAACTTCACCAAACACCCAGGATCCAAACTGTAGTCCGTAACAGTGTTTGTGTTCTTCCTTCTGTAATTACATCTAAATATGTTTGATCTTCATAGCTGAGCAGGAATCTGTTAAGTAATTTTTTCCAGTAAACATTTTGTTTCTCCTTTAGTATCATGACTTCTTGAAGATTCCCTAGGAGATTCTCCAGTGTACATCTCTTTCATTCCTACATTTTGTTCCATGATCCTGTCTATGTTGTTGATTATTCCATTTTATTTCACAGGAGTATGACTGGAAAAACTACCAGTCAAATAGACTCAGTTCATCTGAACTGCAGATGCTGGCTAGCATGAAGAGACAGCAAAGTGAAGAATCAGGAGATACTGGGATCTCCCATGAGCTGAGTGCTTCACAGATAGATAATTGCAACGTTAGCCTAAGTACAAGCAGTGATGATACAGCAACCTGCAACTCTTGTTTCCCACCAGTAAGTATAACTCCACAGTATTTTCTCTGTATAGTTTTTATCAATTCTGAGACTCAAGGATCTTGAACATTAAAACGTGTTTGAGCAGCTTTGAAATTTAAGATACCATTGCCAAATGTTTTTAGAACTTAGCAAATAAACCTGGAACCAAACACATACACTTCCAGCAGGTCCTGTAGTACTACCATGGACAAAGAGCAAATCTATTACATGTATTCCTTTCTAGAATCCTGAATAATCATGTGGGCTGTACAGCTTGTAAAGTAGTGGCTGAAAACCTGCAGGTGTGTGGTATAGTACCTAAAAATAGTTCCAAAATGAATGAAGCCCAGATATACCACTCAGCAACTACATTACAGTGTGAGTAATGGAAAATAATTGCTTCTTACGATGATAAAGTCTTATTACTGAAAAGATAACTGTTGAAAGCACTGAAGGAGGAGAACAGCAGCAAAAAGCTGCAGTAGTTCTAAGCTTTTAGTACGTGATCCTTATGTATTTCACACCTTGTATCATTACTTGTCCTGGTACAAAGTGGTACAAAATCACACAGGCTGCACTATGTGACAGAGAACTCTTATAAGCAGAGGAGTATTTGTTACAGTCCACTGAAGAGTATTGAATGTATGAAATCACAGAATAACATTTCAGCAGCTATATAAAGGTGCCTGCAGGAGCTGCTGTAAAACTAGATAACCTCATACTCCGTTTATATCTCAGCAACATAGTTCTTATTATAGGTGAAACAATAATAAACAATGAATGTGGCTTAAGTAAAGCGCACAACACAACTCTCAGAGGAGGATCCAATGTTAAAAGAGTACCCACTGCTGTGTTGCCTCAGTATAAACTACTGCAGAGTAAATGCTCTAAAATGTTAGGTGGAAATTACACCAGGAATCTATGAGGACCAAATAGAGGCCTGTATAGCAGATATCTTCCATAGTGAATGATCAACACAGCACAGGAACTTCGTGGTACGCTGGTAAATGAAGGTTTCAAATGAGATGTATTGCTAAGTGGGTAATTGTACAAATAAGAACTTGGTGTACAGAGTAGTGTTTTGCAGGATATCAAAGAAACATTACTTGGTTGTAACTATTTGAGATACGTCAACATTACACATTTAGTTGTAGTCTAGTCATTTCCAGTACATTTTCTTAGTACTTACTAAGTAGACTCAAACATGGTATGAATCTGCAAGACTGGACAAATAGAGAATAGCAGTCTCATTAATTTTTGAGTGGTTTAATTATAAGGAAATTGATAAGAATATTTAGACATGGCAGGTTTGGTTAATACAAATTACATTACTAAAACAAAATGAACTTTTAAGGTGAAATGTACTGCTGCAGTATTCAGTGAAGCATAATGTGATTGCAAAGACAGTTCTTAGATCTTACTGTCTTGATCAGGTTCTGTAGCTTCAGACTAATAGCGTCAGTCTAAAAAGAGCTTACATATAATAAGTTAGTCATTTAAATTGTAGTTTAAGGTAGCCACAGTTTTTTCTAATAGGCCTTTGTGGCCATCTTTACGTAAATCAAGTGTAAAAGACAACATATTTGTCTTTGAGAAGATTTTCAAATTTCATTCAGTTGACTGAAGTGTTGGTGTGCCTTATACGTGCCGCCTTGTCATGTTTCTCCTCTGTATTTTGCAAGATGGGCACTGTGGTTTTAAGATGTAATGACAAGGACCTCATTTCCAGGAAGAGATGATTTAGAAAGCAAACCTAATCTTTCTCAGATAAGGTCTAACCACTTTGTCCCTTGCCACAACAAAGGCTGCTGAAATTCAGCTTCAGCAGTCTTCCCTACCTCTGCCTTTATGCAGAGGGACTCCCTGTACCAGTACAATGTTAGATAGTCCACAGTACCTGTTGATTCACTTCATATTTGCCTTTCTGAGATAGCTGCCATGGCACCAGCTATTCATAGATGTGGTACAGGTTTTTGGACTACGGACCTGTATGCTTAACACTCCTTGATTGAATTCTATTCCAATATTTGGAAAACAGCAGAATATTCACGTGAGAGTGATAATTCATTTTCTAGGCCTTTAGTATCTAAGAGGATTATAAACTACTTTTATTGGGGAAGGTGATTATTTAATCACCCCAAGTTATTCTAACACAGGAGCTTTTAGAAGAGTAGTTGGGTACATTTTTGGTATGTTGGTGTTAAATTTCAGTATATTTTGATATGCTGACAACATTTCAGAAGACATTGAGAATAGCGATGCAGTGCCAGTATTCAAATGGATAGCTGAAACATAAAGCTTAGAATAAAAAGAGAGTTGGTTTTATGTCATTGATCTTTAGTACAACCACCACTTGAGTCAAGAGAATTTGCAAATGATCTCTTCTTCCAAAATCAGATGTACAAACTGCAGAAAAGTGTGTATATAATATATATAGCCATCTTCCAGTTGCATAGGCAAATGATTTTAGCAGTGCAGTATATAGAAAAGAAATAGAAATACTCCTCATATTGTAGTTTGAGAAATTAAGGACAGCTTGAAATTCTTACCATGATTAAACTTTCATGCCTACATGTGTTTCCAGGTTGTATCTTTCTGATTATTTAAATCAGTAGTATCTATTGCTTTCTGTTACATTCTTCAAAGATAAATAAGGAATATTTTTATTCCAAATTTTCATTCATTTTATACATTTTTGTCTTTTAGTGGAACCTTTGGCAACAGCACCACCAGAAGGCAGCTTTTTGTGTATCTTTCATTTTGAAATACCTGTGAAGTTTTGCAAGGCAGGGCAGGATATAATCGTGTTAGATAGTGACCTTATGTATCAAAGTAATATCTAATATATAAAAAGCATTTTAGTGAGTTTATTTTTTTCATCGCTTGCCATTGCTACACTGATTTCCAGATTTATTGCAGATTCTCATGTTTCTGAGTCTAATGAGTTGAAGAAACCCTTCTGAATGTAAAGATACGTAAATCAATCATATTGCTTAGTTGCAGTTAGAACAGATGTCCTTAAACAGCTATAAAACAGATATACTGGAACTGTATTTTTATATGCTGTGATAGTTTACCAAGTACTGAATATAGGCTGTCAGGAGAAATGTAAGTTGTTTAGCAGCTGGTGTAAACTATGACAGCCGAAAAGGGATAAACCAGCTTTGAATATTACATATTACCCAGCAGAGCTATAAGTTACAAATATGAAAAACTTTCATTTTAAAGTGGATTTGCTTCAAAGGATAATTTAAATCCTTTTAAAATGGGAGGGGGGGGAAGAGAGAGAGAAGGAGCACAGTTCCAAATCAATAATATCTGTAACTTAAGTATTTGTAAAGACTTTATTTGACTGTGTCTTACCTGAGTGTTTTCTGAAATCTGAAGGTGTATGAAATTCCGTGTTAGCTTTGCAACAATATGCAAGACACAGTTCTGTGTATTGCAGAGTATAATGTGAAGTTTATACCCACACATATGCACGTTAACCAAGAATATTTGCCAAGCTTAGGAAATATTTCTGCTTAAATGCCTTGGTTTATTCTAGAGATCAAGTAAGACCTTCCTGCCCTATCAGGGTATTGGCCCATTCAGCTTCTTGGATAGCTGTTTTTGTACTTCAGAGACCACTTCAGATACAACACAAACATTCTGGAGATCGTATATAAGAGATTTCAGGATATCTTACTACTAATGGTCCCTGATTCTCAGCAAGAAATGCAAAAGAGAAGGAAGATTCTCATAGATTGCTCCTTGATACATCCTAGAAGCTTGCAGTGGTATAATGCTGCATTAGCAGTCTCCAGAATACATTCACTGCTAAGACCTATCTTTTGAGTAAGGAGTACTCACAGAAAAGAAAGATTACTTGTTCCCCAGGCAGCTTCCTAAATATAAATTCAGTCTTATAGGCCTTGACCTGCAAGACATTTGAAAGAGTTCTTTCAGGTTCATACATAATTTGTGGAAGGTCTTCTGGTTTCCTTTGTAATGGTTCAGAAAAGAAAGCCACTTCACACAGAAATGGTTTGGCAGAGCTGAAGTCTGACAGACAAGAGGAGTGATATTTAAACCCAGAATTATTCCAACTGAGAGCTCACTTTGACAACCCCTGGAGGGATCTGTTCACATCAAGTCAAATTGCAAAACTGAGGCAGACTATTCCTTACTATGAAATGAGACTAAAAATTATTTAGACAGATATTCTGGTTCACAGACTGACTAATTCACTTTCTGTCTCATTCTCAGTCTTCCACTAGCCATCATTTGGGAATTGCACTATCCACCACCAGGCAGTGACTCATATTTGGCAGTAATTAGGATGTCATTCATCCTGCACATACATTTTACAACATCCCTCCCCACTTCCTGAAACCATGAGAACATACTCATTTTTCTATTGATTTCTGTAAAAAAAGGCAATTGCTTTCATAGTGCATAGTGTTTATTTTTAGCATTGCATGTACTAAATCATACAAGTACTGTTAATGTATGCTTGTATTTCCACTTCTTTTGCATTTGCTTCAGTGATCTGTTTAGAGCTGCTTTTGAGGGGTGTGACAATGGCAGGGGGTCTCTTCTGGAAGCTCTACATATATACTGAGAGAAAATTAGAATTCTTGAATTTTTATACCAGTTTATGAATATTGATCTTTCTTCCAAATAACTTTTTAATGCCATAAACCAAAGGTAGTTTGAAGCCTTTGGGGCACATTCTTAACAATGGGTAGGTAACATTTGATGACTGTAGAAAATTGCCATCTTTTGTATGAATATTCATACAGTCCACATTATCTATTCATGAATAGCTGAATCCAGGTATCAAGTTGGCAGTGCCATAGGGAATCATATCCGCTTCAGCAAATTTCATTTGGGACTGCTTAGATTACTGCTAATGGTGCTTCCGAGAAGAGAGGAACCATGCCTGCCAGCCCTTTCAGCTCTGCCTCAGTGTTGTCTCATCTTAAGAATGGTTGCTTCTGCACACATCCTACTAAGAGTTCCTGCACCATGCTTCCTATGCGCATACAGTCCAGACTTTCTATCAGACAAGACTTCGCCACGCTCCCTCTCTGAAGCTTCCTGACTCAGTCCCAACACTCTCACAAGCAGATGAGAAATGACCATGTGGTCAACTCTTTAGTTCATGTTTATTTCTACCCAGCTAAGAATTATCTGTTAAGCTGTACTTTTGCACAGTTAGAATCTGAATAGCTGTTTTTAATTTCACAGGTAAGGAAAAAGGCTGTAAAATTCTAATATCGGAAGCTGCAAATGTGTATGCTCATAAAAGATCTCTTACATGCTTCTAAACATACTGAAAGAATATTTGCAAAGTCATTTTCTTAATATTATTTTTTGTTTTCCATAGCCCACCAGTCAGGAGCATCACTATCAGAAAGAAATGAGCCCACTTTCTCATTCCAACCCACGGTAAGATTCCATTTATAGCCTAGGCAGTAAGGATTCAGTTAGAGTGTCCTGAATATTAAATGTGACATTCTTTGATTTAATCTTAAATCTCTTTAAGAGGGCTTTACTATTGCTCGTTTCGGTCATTGTCTGCAGTATGTCTGCGTTGTCCTGGAATGCAGAACTGAATTCTGCATGTTTTGGAAGTACCACTGTGTATTGAATGTAACTGACACAAGCCTTGCTCCTACAACTGCTTTGATGCGTGATTCAGCAAATCTTCCTCATCTGACATACATGCACTCTCATCTGTTTCTTTCTCCTTCACTCCCTCTCTGCTTTGAAGGCTTAGAAATAGAATTCTGTATGTGACTGTAGGTGTCAGGGAATCCATTTGTTACAGAAGATTCTAATGTTGCTTATTTAGACAGCATTTTTTTAACAGATAGCCCCGTCAGGAGAGGGTGTTACAACACTGTGGGATAGTTCAAATGGATCCTGTCTACAGCATATTTTGGCTGTCAGGTTTTTAGCTTGTTCTGTTTTGTTTGGAATCAGCAAAAAAATCCCCATGAGTTTAATATAAGGCAAAATGAGGACAAGGGAGGAGGGTGGCTAGGAAGAAATAATCAAAATGAAATGATCAAAATTAATTGTCCCGTTCCAGGTGAAACCTTAACATCACTTTGTCAATTTAACAGCCTGAACAGAGGCGTACTTATTTATAAAAGTAGACTTATTTCACTTGGTGGTGTTAATGTGCATTTTGCTTGTCCGGGTTTTAACTGGACAATGTATGTGGGTTGGGAGGAATAGGAGCAGAAGACATTTCAGATACAACTTTATTGACAGTATGAAGTGTTTTCTGACAGCACACTGCCAGTCAGTTGTGCAGGATAATACACGTTTTTCCTCACAGAGATGTTTTCAGTCACTTACTTCACTTGCCATTCACATTTTTATGGATTTTAAAAGTTCTTCTTAGATTATATGAAGTGAACACTATGAAGCTTGCTGTGCAAGTTCATCAGATGCATCATGCAACTATATGCTTCCTAGTGCACACGATCTATTACTGGAGTTAAAGTATAATCCTGGATTCCCACTCCCTTTCACATGTAAATCAAAGTGCTTATGTTGGTCTACAAAACCTCTCTACCTTGGGTGGTGGTTATCAAAGGAACTATCTCTATCCTTAAGAATTGTTACAGTGGATGAAGTGGACAGAGGCACAACTACAGTCCTCAGAGTATGGTATTGTTTACTTTGAGACTGACACTTTGGACTCTTTATTCCAGAATCAATTTCATAAATCTCATGGCATTAGAATTGCCTGTATTGTAGTGCAGGCTACATTGTTTGTCTTCTTTCTGCCCATATATTGGTTGAGTCAGGTTTTATTAAGTTATTTTTATACATGTGCTAAAGCAATTTGGTACTCAGTACATCTTATATACTGAAAAACAGAATAAATACCATTATCTGCAGAAATAAAGCATTCCATCATATCAAGTTAATGTGATCAACAATGAAAACTTGTATTTCCATGTAATAAAATTTAAGACAGAACAGTATACATTACAGCTTAGTTCTTATGCTATTTCAGTCCAGCACACACAGTAGACTTAACTTTCTCTAGAAATCATTTGCGAGAAATGCAGGCAAAGTATTCGTGAAATACCTGACTTGCAAGTGCCTCATAAATTCAGTAGCCCTTGTGAACTGCCAGAAAAGCATTATTGGGCTGTAAATACAGAAGATGAAAAAATTATGAGGTCAGTTTGCATCATGATATAAAAACAGGAGATGATGTGACTTGAATATCATTATTCACGTCATTACGTTTCATTTATAATGGAAAGCTCCATAATGTTTTTCATAGAGGGTGTGTATCTAAGTGAGAGGGAGATAAAATTAATGGTAATTTATAAGTTGGCTCCTAAACTGTTTTTAAGGCCAATTTTAACAAGTCATGTATGAGCAAGTGGAGAATGTCTGAATCTTTGTAAGCTTATTGGAGCAGTGTAGAACACACAGAATATTTGAAAAATGTATATATCCTACGTAGATGAGTGGGTATAAATGCTGTGGCATGAAGACCGTTACGAGGTGCGCTTACTGAACAACAAATAGTTTGTTGTAGAGAGTGATAAAGAATTTGACAGGTCTAAAGTAACTTTAAAAAGTGTAATAGCGATATGTTCTGGGAAATTAAAAGAGAGCAGTGTGGAAGCTATTGTCCAGTAAATGTAGCTTCTGTCCATAACAAGATAAAAGAACAAGCCAGGAAAGAAGGCACCTGTGAAGATAATGGAAATGCAGTCAATAAAAAGACCCAGCTAGACTCATTTTCCATTGGTTCTGCTGGGGAAAGGTCATAAGTCTGCCAAGAATATTGCGACTGCAATACAAATCATCTCCACATCACGCTGCTTTGCAAGGCGTAGAACCAGTTAATGAAAGGAGACAGGCTGACTGCAGAGGCTACACAGCCAGATGAGCAAGATGATGTGCAGTGTTTCAAGCCTTAGCTATGTACTTCCCACTGACTGATGGGCTGTATGGTCCTAGCTGAACTTCAGAGTTGCTGTCTTCTCTCCAAATAGGAAGCTGTAATTATCTGTGTTACTTCTTCCTCCAATGCAGGGACTGGAAATTGTGAATTGCTACTTAGCAAGCATTTGTCCTCCAAAATAATTGTGTGTCATAGAAGGTTTGGAAGCTTCATTAAAGGAAATGCTAAAAGAAAGTCAATATTCTAGAGGAATTTCAGCTATACTAAACTGCAAAATGCAGAGCTGCTCTCTGAAAAAGATCACTCGAGCCTAATCTCATGAATAGATTTTCTCAACTTCCACAGATGCTCTCCAAAAAATGTATTTCTGATAAAAGCTGATTTTTCTGTCTTTGAGAGGGTTTTTTAATACGTAGAAACCTATTTTTATAATCATTGCCTCTCTTGGCATCCTACTTAACTCTTCCTAAGCTACCAAATAAAATGTATTCCTCTGAAGTTCAATCATCTGTTCTCCAGAAACCGCACTAAGGTAGGAGACACATTTCAGCATTTCATTGAGCATCCTTTCACAAGAAGCTTATTTTACTTAAGTAATGTCATACAAATTGTACATAGCCAAATTTTCAGTTAGGTTTTACTCAGACATTTAACTCTATGTTAAAAAGTATTCCTATAGTGAATTGTGGGCACAGAGCTACATGGAAGTATCATGCAATTCAGGCCAGCATTTTGCCCAGACTTGTTTTATCTATTAAAAGTGCCACCACTGTGCTGTGGTTTAAGTCCTTTGTAGCTTTGCACTTGTGGATGTAATATAAAATTCCTTCTATATATAATTGGCTGATACGGGCCCACAGTCTTTGACAAATGATTAATAGTCACTGACCTCACTTCACATGGGCTTGGTACAGACTGACTAAAGCAAGCTGCTTGTCATTGTAACCTACATGTGTTGCACTGGACTGATTTGGATGTCATCATTCTTCTTTCCCCTACAATCAAAAGAAAATCCCAGCCCCAAAACAAAACCAACCCTGAAAAAAGCCAGTATTTTCTTTCCTTTTTTTAGTAAAGGCTTCTCTCCAATTATGATAAATGTTATAGATTTGAGATTTATCATCACTAAAGAAATGTTTCACTGATGTGGAGATGAAGTCTTTGAGAAGAACAGTAACTATAAACTTTTCAGAACAAGTTGTTTTATCTTCCTAAGAGCAGAGCCCATATCCTTAACTGCTACTTTATCAAACAATGTGATTTTCCTTCTTATTGCAATGATATGCATGTAGATATGCAGTAGTTCAGATAATGTGTCATGAAATAGTAAACATGTTCCTTTAGTTCTTTTCAAACTTTATTATTGGTAAACTTCTGGTATATTAAATATACCAAACACCACTTTCTATGTATAACTCTATTCCATTGATTTTCAGGAAGTAAATTATTTCTTTCACTTTAAGAGTTTCTGCCAAAGAAGTCTTTTGTTAGAACTTATTGTTGCCATGAATATTACCATTACCATGGAGCCTTAAATTTGCATAATATGTCAATGATTCCAACACAAAAACACATCCGTTGCAAACCCACAAGTATTAAAGGCATGTTCAGCTTTGAGTCTACCATTCAAGTACTCTCATCCATCCCCAGTGAAAACTAAACGTTCCAATAGCTGATGCTTGTGGTGTTATACCGTTGAGAGATTCAGTAAAATTAAACTCCCCTACAAAATGGTGCACTAAAAGAAGGATGGGAGCTGTAACATTTATTTGCACTACACGAGAGCTTTTTCAGCATGCACACTGTGAAATCCAGACACAAAAGGTCTTTGTTTCCTGTATTTCCAAGCAAAGGCTTAGATAGCAGAATAACTTAAAAGTTAAGCACATCTAAAGATTAAGTTTTGCAAACAAAGAAGCACAGTTATTTTTATGGTTCATTACAAGATCAGAGTCGTACAACTCCATTACTTCTGCAAAACAGAAAATATTCCATTATGAAGTATTATAAAATTACACGACTGTTGTCAAAATAAGTGAACAAGAACAATGTATCACAAAATGTACTTTGGTTGTTCATTGTATTTGTTCAGTTACTTTACTCATCCACAAAATAGAATAATTTGCAATAGGTCTCCCAAGTCGTTAATCTGAATTAGTGAAGTTCTGCTCCATTTGTCAGGCTATAATATTCATGAAAGAAGAACATGACAAAAGAAGCAAATGTCACAGGAAACATCTAGTTGAAAGGTTAAATATTTTAATCACAATGGTGAAAAGCTTAGCTGCAGAAAGGTTGTTGAGAACCAAGCAGCTAACATATGAAAGCTTGTTAAAATAAGAATAACCCAAAATGGCTTTCTCTTGTATGGGAATCTGGAAACAGGGCACCATATACGCTATGGGTTTCAATGTAAAACATGGCAAATGCTTTCAAATGTCTTGCTGTTGCATCTATGTTAATGTAAGGTAGTTTATCTCCTTTTTTTGCAGCTTCAGGACTTACT